GATAAACGAACGAATAGTTTGGTGCCAGCTCAGACTCCGCCTACAAACGAACGTGGCAGAACTGGAGTCAGGGCGACTACGAAAGCACCAGAAGAGTTTAGAACGACTTGCATGTCTGCCTGGCGCCCTGGCAACTGGTAGAGGGACGGGTCATCACATCCGAGTAGCCCGAACTTCACGGTTACCTTAGCTTCGCACTTTTGTCGTATCTTCAAGGCGTCACCTTCGATCCGTTCAGAGGTTGGCTCAGAATGTTGTCTGCGATGGCATCGTGTTTGCGATATCTTTTTTGTTCTTATTTGCTTTCTGTGGACACCGCAGGCTGGCAAAGGCGTCAGTTGGCTCTTGGACGTGTTACCGAATTTCTCAAATAGATCTTTACTCCATTGGGCGCCCTATTCATCGGAAGCTGGCTCCTCGGGTTGCAGCCAACCTTTACTCCGCTTCTTTGCACATGCATCCGCCAAGCGTTGAGCGGAGCGGGTTGGAAGGTGCTCACCGGGACTCATGTGCCCGGCGATGCACCAGCAGAGGAGAGAGATAAAGGTAAATAGACGAACTGTAGAGCCGAGAGAGTTTTGTTTGTGCCTTTCAACCTGCCTAAAGAATGAGGCAGAATTTGGATTCTGCTGAAATCCGTCTTATTATATAAGACGTCGGCTAGACTAGTTTATGTCACAAATATAAACATTAGCACTCGCATACACCCACACTCACACCCTCACACACACACTCGAATACAAGAATGCAAAGATGTAGGCTGTCATGAGCTTGAACAACTAATTTTATGGGTGCATTTCGATGTTGCAATAGCGACTAGGTTTGTTTATTCTCATGGAAACTTCTCCAAAATCCTTTCATGTAAGCGGCATTTGAGTAGAAAAAGAAAATGATGATGGTAATATCCAGTTATTTAATAACTAGAGCCGGTGAACTAAAGACTTAAGGTGGAATTTTCATCAATGTAAGGGGTAGGCCTCACAATACCTATTATTTCATTTTTCGCATTTTAAGTATTGTTTCGAGACTACCAGTAAATCAGTAATATGAAACGAAATTGAGTGAATACATCTCATATTACTGATTTACTGGTAGTCTCGAAACAATACTTAAAATGCGAAAAATAAAGTA